AGCAGCACCGTCCAAAGTAAGTTATGCTGCAGAAGGGTCGGCTGAAGGCTTTTAGTTTTTTTCTCTTTTCGCATGTGTGTGTGGCTCGCTTTGAAGGAATGGCTTGCTGTATATTTTTATTGCCCACAATTGTGATTTGTATGTGATATTATTCTTAAAGTCAAAAGGCAAGATCCTCAACCAACACTGGCTTGACGATGAACCTTGATGTCCTGGTCGGCGACGTCGGATTCGGCGTCGAGCTTGATTGTGAGAGGCCCGAGTCCAACGCGCGTGGTGGCTCGCCAAAGCAAGGCATTACACCCTCGGCGCACGATGCTCAAGCTTCTTGGCGATTAGCATGGCAACACGCAGCCGTTTCTGAACGACGCCCACGAGTTGATTCGGTCCACGCCTGCACGCAAGGAAGCTACTGCATGGCAATTGATTGCCCGATCAATGTTCCAGGAAGGGCAGCCCCAGTTGACAAAGTTCCACCTGATCTTCGGGCGGCCAGCAAGGACAATGACGTATCGAGATCGCCATGGGCTGGACCAGCCCCACCTTGGTGGCCTGCCTTTTCCGGGTGCATTCATTCAGACGAAAGAGGTAGACTCGAATTACGCACAAGTTAGCATCCAGTTGAGACGCGCACATCTCGCCCTTGAATGGCAACTGTGACGTACGACCTCACGTACTAGTCGGTGGCGGCGGCAGATGCGGCTGGGCCATTTCCTGGCGCAACTTGGTCGTCCAAATCTCATGGCGCGCCGACACGACATGCGGATTCGAGACCTTTCGCTGGTTCACCGAGATACCACGCAGGGTGGCCGTGATCGTGTGACCCGCTTTTGGTGGCGCCACGTCACGAGGGAGGATGCGCATTGGCTGTTGCAGCAGGTCTTTCCGGACGTCTTCAATGACCTTTTTGCCTCTCGGTGACAAGACGAGACCAACGTCGAGCGCGTCGACGTGCGGCGGCACGAGCTCCACCGATGACGCGTCGTCCTCGTGGTACTCGCCAGCGATGACGCGGAGGCGGCCTACGAGCTGGAGGTCGGGCTTGACGCTTTCGTACGACGGCGCGTTCGCGACGGGAAAGTCGCGCTGCTCGATGCGCAGCGGCTTGTGCTCGTGCCACGCGCTTAGAAACGCGACGGGCGGGAGCGTCTGCCGCTGGAGGGCTAAGAACTCGTCGGCCCAAGCGATCTGCTGCACTTGGCGGGAGAGCTCGAGCTCTTCGCACCGAAGGACGCGGAGCTTGGCGCTGGTCTCGGCTTCTAGCGTGGTCAGGGCCGCGTCGAGTGTACTTCGGAGCAGCTTCTCGACAGCGTCGCGGTTGCGCTTGACGTCGTTGGCGCGCTCGGTAATGTGGCCAAGCCGCGTCCCAATGAGCATCTTGCGCGACTCGACGAGCGGGTCGACTTTGCTCGACTCTTTCAAGCTCTGCTCGTATGCGTCCGGGATACTGATGAGGCGGTGGAGCCCCTTCTCGCCGCACGAGTGGTCGCCAACCATCTTGCAGTTGACACAGACTGGCACGGCGCAGACGGGGCAGTAAAACTCGACGTGCTTGGTGTCGTGCTACAACTCGTCGTTCAGAGATGGGACATCGCAGACACGCCAGTCATACCAGACGACAGGGCACGGGCGGCACAAGTGCGTTCTGACCAACGTACGTCGTCGGTCGCGCGGCGTCAATCGACAACGGCGTGCGCGCATGGCGACTCATGAGCTTGTTGGCGGCGTGCGTATCGTGGTCGCAGGCCGCGCAGAGCTCGGCTTCGCAGCAACGGCACGCGACAGCGGCCGGAAGCAGCTCGCAGAGCGCGCAGAGTCGCTGGCGCAGCTTGGGATCCATCCACTGGTAGCCAAAGCGCACGAGGTATTGCGGCAAGATCTAGTCGACCGTCATTGAGAGCTCGTCCGAGTGGCTCGAACGTCGCACCTGCTGCGTGTTGGTCACAATGTACTCGTGGCAATAGCCCGTTGTGCGCGGCGCCTTGGACACAATGTAATAGCTGTCGTAGCCGGGTGGCAGCGGCTGCGCGGCCATCGCCTCGTCGTCAATGACCATGGACCGTCCGGTGGCAACCTTGCAGAGCACATATTGCTTCTTGCCTAAGGGTACAGCCGAGTGGACAAACGTGACCAACGTACGTCATGTACCTTTCTTTCCTGGCTGGTCCATGGTGATGTTGCCGGTCGTGAGCTTCATCGCATGCGACGCTTCGTACGGCGCGTGGAAGCCGTACGAGTAGACTTGCTCGATCGACGGCCCGAGGTCCTCGACCGCGACCCACGAGTCGAGCTCAAGCAAACCACCAGTCGCTTGCTCATACTGCGCCGAGAGGGACGGGTTTTGCATGTCCCAAATCATCACGTCGTCGTCGGGCACGCGGTACCCCGGCAGTGACGCCTGCAGGAGGTACCGGACGCGCTGGAACTCCTTTGTGAGCGGGTTGAGGGCCGTGACCGTCGCGACTAAGAGCTTACTCGAGCAACCTCGTGACGTGTAGAATGATACCCGAGTCGGACGACGGCGACGCGAGGGTCTGACGGCGCGGACTCTCGGGGCGGACGCTGTCGTCCGCCGGCGGTGCACCCGGCGCCTCGTCGTCGGGCGGCGGCGGCGGCACCGCGTGAGGCGCGAGGAAGAGGCGCAGTCGCGACAGCGAGACGTTCGGGCCCGACGCCATGATGTTCGTGTCGACGGAAGCTATGGGTTTCGAAACGGAATCGAGCCGCCAACCGCTGTCTCCGAACACTGTATTTTACAGTGTTTTTATCGGTGCCACACAACGACAAGGCTCGTAGTAGAAACCAGCGTGGTCTGAATCGAAAGACCGGTCTAGAGCTTGCTCAAAAGCTGCGTAGGAGGCTGGTGAGCGTCACCACCACATTCGGTGACCCGTGTTCCAGTCACGGGTCGTGGACGACCACTTTGTCACTTTTCACCAAGAGACCCATGGAAGCGCCGGCGGATGCGCGATCGGGTGCAAGGCTACGAGCACCTCCGACGTCGACCTGCAGCGCAACAGCATGGCCATCTTTGCTGCATTGCTTGGCAATCGCGGTAGAGAGCAGAGGGTGGGGCGTGACACGAAGCAGCTGGGCAATACTCTGTCGGTCTTCTACAGCAGTCATTTTTGGACGCGGTTCGTGCCCATCGACTCTGTATGACGGGCGTCCGCTACGGTACGACGCGCTCTCGATTCGGCTCTTCCTACGCTTCTTGTTCCCTTGTCTAGATGTCAAGGCCATGGAGATGCAACTGCCGCCCGTCTCGAACGCGTTCCACTGCTCCGCGTACAAGATGGCCATGAGCCACCGCCGCGAGAAAAACTCGCTGTTCCAGCGGACGCTCATTGGCATGGACGGCCTGTATGAAGTCACGTTTTACGAACGAGATCTCGGTCTCCGCCTCGACGTCAGCGCTAACGGCGACATCACTGTGCACACGATCAAGGCGACGCCGGCGCTGCCGCCCAAGTCGACCCGCAGCGTAACGACGACGACGACGACGCCGCGACCGCCAACGTCGAACGCCGATCTGCTTGTGCCTGGCGACGTTCTTGTGGCGGTCGGCTGCATCGGTGTCCGCCACAGCGACAAGGTGTCGCTGACGGAAGTCGCCGAGCTCATCCAGGTCCAAGCCCGGCCGATCCGGCTCGTCTTCGAGTCGCAGGTCGCACGCACGCTCCAGCTCCAGCTCCAAGAGACACTGAGTCGGCTCGTGTTTTCGCCGCTGCTATCCGCGCACTTTGACGTTGGCGCGTCGACGCGCGACCTTGTCTTCCAGACGTCGCTCGAGATGGTCGTCGACTTTAGCTACAGTCTCTACGCGTGGTTTGACCCGCTCCGTGTCGTGCACGTTGTCCTCTTTGATGACGTACTCCTCGTCACCGAGGCCAAAGACAAGGGCAAATCGCGCTCCAAGCTCGTGGTCAAGCACCTCTTTCCGCTTCAACTGCTCCATGTGCGGGATCTCATGGCGTCGACCGACTACATCCCGTCAAGTTTCGAGCTCGTGCACCCGAGCAAGACGTTTACGTTCATTGCGCGCGACGAACGCGCGAAGAAGGAAGCGCTGGATGCGCTTGGGATGGCACTCGCGCTCGCGTCCAACGCCAACCCGAGCGCGCGCGGGTGGCAGTACCAGTTTTCCACCGGCTCGTTGCACCAGTGCGCGCTCCAAGGCAACCTCAAAAGCATCGAGCTCCTTGCCTCGCGCCGCGCCGACTTCGACGAGCAGGACGTCAACGGGTGGACGCCACTTTTTTACGCTGCGGTGCGCAACCACGTCAAGGTCGTTCGGCTCCTCGCGCGTCTTGGCGCCAACGTCAACGTCGTCGACGAGTTTGGTCTTGGCGCGCTCCATTATGCGTGCTTGTACCAGTGCCCATCGAGCGTCGACGCCCTTTTGCAGGCCGGTGCCTCCACCAACGCGCGCGACGTGTATGGTCGAAGCCCGCTCTTCCTCTGCGCCATCAACGAAGACCCGCTGCTGGCGTCGCCGCTGCCGGTGGACACGCGGGCCATGAAGCTGTGCATGGAGCTGCTGATGGCGGCGGGCGTGACGCTCGAGTCAACCGACGACGAAGGACTCTCGGCCCTCGAGCACAATTTGTGCGTGGACGTGGCCAAGTGCCGCGTCCTCCTCGACGTCGGCATGCGTCTCGATACGCTGTACGAAGGTGCTAACAGCATCTTGCATTTGGCTTGCGACAGCGCGAGCATGACGGTCAGCTACGACTTGCTCTCGCTCCTGCTCGAGTACGGCGCGCAGCCCAACGCAGTCAATGCCGATGGCAACACGCCGCTGCACTTGCTCTGCCTCCAGTACATTGCCGATAGAGATGCTGCGCAGTTTCGAATCGACGCCGTCGTCGTGCGCGCGATGGAGCTGCTGGTCGCGCACGGTGCGCGCTTCAACTTGACGAATGCCATCGGCGCCAGTGTCGAGATGCTCCTCGAGGCCCACCAGATTCCGATGAAAATCGGAAAGGCGCTCGTGCTCTGGCAGAGCAAGCGGCGCATTCTGGCGTCGCCCCGCGTCCTGTCGCGCGCCGACGGGCCCAAGCAAGAGCAGATCGTGTTGATGCAGATGCCCACACCAGTGGCGCCGCCAACTCAATGCGGCATCTGCCACTGGCAGTGCGAGTGGACACCGTCCTCGAGCTTCTTTGAGGTGAGCGGGTCGGCGCCGCGATGGGAGGCGCCGAGCACGCGCCTCATCGGGCTCTACAACTGCTCGGTGTGCTTGACGCCGGTCTGCGGACTCTGCTCGCTCAAGCACCTCGGCGTGTACCACGTGCATGATTCCAACTACCTCGACTTACCACCGTCGCTGCAGACCAAGCCTGTTTGCGACGGCTGCTACAATTTTGCATTTTACGACTTGGCGCGCGAAGTGGCGGCGTCCAAGATCGAGACGCCGCTGTCGTCCCGCCGTCGACCGCGCACGCGATCGCTCCAAGGACTCCGCCTCTTGTAGTCTGAGCAACAAAGCCTTCCATTCTTCTATCTCCACCGTCCGAGCCAGTCGAATCGAAATGGTGTACGAGACCTTTGCACTAAACTAGCTTTATGGTCACTGCGCTCTGCGAACGTTATGCATACTTGATGTGCGGTGGCGGGTCAGCCTCGACGAGGCGGCGCAGGCGACTGTGGAGATCACCGTCGAGGAACCCGAGTAGCCGCCGCGCGCAGTGCACTCCGTCCTTGTTGGCGGCGCCGAAATCCACCTTGTGCCACTCGCAGATCTTGGGCAATGTGATGACGCGCGTCTCGTCATCGACGCGAATCGCGTCCTGGAGGTAGCGTCCCATGGCCGCGTTGAGCTGCTCGTGCACATAGTCGCCGTCAAAGAACGTGACCAGCGGCTCGAGCACGTGCAGCACAAACGAGATGCGAAAGTCCGGGTGCTGGACGCCGTACGACGCTTGGAGGGCGCGCATGCTCGCTGCAATCGTCTTGTGCCACGGCGGCGCCAAGACGGACGGCGGCAACTTTGCGCGCAGAATTGCGTGCTCCATGTCGGCCAGCGACAGCTCGAGCGGCCCGATCGCGTAGCACACACGTCGACTGAACGGCAGCCACTGCTTGGGCGGTCCGAACGCGACCTTGGCGTGCCACAGAAGTGCTTGGTAGACGTTGAGATAAAAGCACAGCCGGTCCTCGTACCGCTCCAAGCGACGCAGCTCGACGCTGCGCAGCGCGCACGCGGCGTCCAAAAAGTCGGACACCTTGTCGGCGAGCGTCGCCGCGTCCTTGCGGACAACGATGCTATCGTCAAGGAGCATGTTGAGCTTGATCGCGGCCTCGAGGACGCGCTCGATGGCGCTCGTCGGGTCGGGCTCGCAGCTTGGAAAGAGCGCTCGGGCGTTGAGCACGGAGCGCGTCGAGCCGTCGGGCTGGGCGTACGTGGTGTGGATGGCCCACATGGCTTGGAGGTCGTCGAGGCACAGTGGCGGCGGCGTCGGCGGCTTGTGCACGTGCAGATGCTTGAGGCACTCGGCGACCGCGTGGGCACTCGGGACTGCAAAATACAGTGTTTCATACAGCGTTTGGACCACAAACGTGTGGTCGAGGCCGGGGCACCACGTACATGCGGTGGCGCCAACCACGACGTTGATGGGGATGCTGCGCACGGGCGATTTGGACTGCGAGCGGTACAAGTGCAGCCCGTCTTGCGTAAGCACGACGAATTCCTGGCGCAGAAACGTGCTGGAAATCGCGCGGAACGTTTCTTGCTGGAAGACCATGTGCTGCCGGTGTTGGTTGCGGATGCGGACGCCGAGCCGCGTCGCCGAGGACGGTGGCCAGAGCAACGGTTGTGCCGCGACGACCGTCGACGACGCAGCGGCGTCATCCAAGGCGCGTCGCTGGTGCTCGATCGCCGTGTACCGGCCCAGGCGAGATCGGACATGCAAGGGCGTCGGCGCCGACGGCCGCCACGCCGCCGAGTGCACTGTCTGCAGGGCGAGCGTCTCGGCCACCGCCACGAGGTACACGACACAGCGTTTTCGCAAGGCAAAATCGACCATCTCGAGCCAGTACGGCACGCCGACAATGGCCGTCGCGGTCGCGGGCGGTGGCTCCACGAGAAGTGGCTCGTCGTCGCTGTTGTCGACGGCGGTGGCCGACGGCAGGAGCGTCGCGCGGCTGTGTCGACGCACGTCCGGCGTCGTGTAGGCAACCGAGAAGCAGAATACATAGTCTTTGGCGTGCTTATCGTGGCGATTTTTGGCCGCGACGACGTCGTAGCACACAAGGCGCAGCGGGTGGCCCTCGAAGAACGTGGTTAGCGCCACGTCCTTCATGCCCGGGAGGTTGATGATGGTCCACTGCGTCAAGTCGACATACATGGTGTGGAAGTGGAACGTGTAAATGGCGTCGAGGTCGTAGACTTCGGTGCCACACGGCGTCTTCATGCGACCGAGATGCTCGGCTTTGGACTCGCCAAAGGCTTCTTGGCCGAGGACAGGCGGCGTCTCGCCAGGCGGTGTGATGACCATCTCGTCGACCGATTGATAGAGCGGAAAAACGCAGTGCGGCAGCTCATTTGCGTCGCCAAACGCGTAGTGCACGGCCTTGACGAGCGTCTGGATGATGCTCATGATGACGCTCGCGAGGCTGCGCGTAAAGAAGCCGAGCGAGATGCGGTCCGGGAGCTCGCCACCGAGGTACACGACGCCGCGCGGCTGCCGCTTGAAGCGACCTTGCACTTGGATCCAGAACATGCGCTTGCGCTTGTCAAAGAGGTGGTGCCACGTCGCATTCGGCGGGTCCGTCTTGACGAGAAAGTACACGTGGCCCACAAAGAGATCGTTCTCGAATGGCACAGGCGCCGTCGAGTTCATGCCGATGTGCACGTCGCTGCCCGAGCCGACCTCGTCCGTCACACGTAGCATGTGCAAGCAGTCGGCGTCCGCGGCCGACGACCGCCGGCGGTCCATGGCGTCGCTCGCGCTTGGTGGCATCGCATCCACATTGTCGTCGTCCTCGTTGTCCACGTCGCTTGAAGACGTCGTGTCGCTTGGTGCGGGGCTGTGCCGGCGTGGCGGCGGCGGTGGCGGTATCGCCGCGCGGCCGCCTCGGAACAAGACGCCCAGAGAGAGCAGTGCTGGCAGAAGCGTCAAGCCATGGGCCAGGCCATAGACGTAGAGGCTCACGGCGGCAAGGGCGGCGAGAACCACGACCTCGGGCCTCGTCACGCCATGGCGACCCATGCGCACGCCAAATAAAATGAAGCGAGCACCATACAAACATTCCGATACACTGTATGCAGCCATGGGCCAATTTTAAAAAATAAAAAGGGTGGCAACTTCAAGTCGGTATCTTTGACGAGGCGACGAGGATGGCGCTGCCGCGGTACTACCACCTGCGCGACCCGATCGAGCACCTCGTGGTGCATGTCACGTTGCGCAAGGTGCTCGCGCTCTCGACCGAGGAGGGTCATCACTCAGCGGCGTAGGTGACCGAGGGCGACGCCAGCCGCATGACCCGGGACGAGTGGACGCGCTCATTCCAGTGGCAAGAAAAGGTGTTTAGCCCCGCGTACGCCCGCGCTCGCCCAAGTGGATGTGTCTCATGCTATAGGTAGCGAGTTTTGCCGCTTCAACACCCGAGCAACGGGCGACGTGGTCGTCCAGAGCGCCAAGGCCGCGTCGGCACTCGAGGTCGTTGCGAGATGCCATCAACGGCTGAGGTCCGACTAGGTCGAGTACAAACACATCATTGCGCAGCGCCAAGAGGCGAACGAAGAGATCCTCGATCGCACCGCCGAGGCGGTCCTCTTTAGCTACACGGACCGCGACAACTATGTGCCCAGCACGGTACCCGCGACTTTGCACTCTCTCAAGCGAAATGTATTGTCTTAGGAGACAGCGCGGGCCGTGTCAACCTCGAAGGAGCCACTGAGCGATATGGCGCTGGCCGCGATAGCACTGCAGCGCCACGCGCCGTCGACCCACGCCGCGACGCGCGAAGTGGCCTTCAAGACCATGTACCTCATGGCATCACTGGACATTCCTTCCGACCTCTACAAGCGCAAGAAGAAACTCAAGCAGATCCGCGATCTCGACGACCACGTGCTCTGTGAGCTGCGCTACTACCCGCGCGCCCGCCTACTCGTCTGCCGTCCTGGCTTTTCGCAGGACACCAAAGGCGCTGCCGACATTGTGTATCTCGAACCGTCGTCGCTGCAGTCGAAAAGAGGCAACCACTACGAGTTTGTGCTCGTGAACGCACAGAATCTGCACCCGGACGACAGCTACACGCAGCTCCAAGTGGCGCTCGAGCTCGACCGGCTCCAAGCGGCCGCCGACGACCGCGCGCGGCAGGCGTTCGAGACGCGCTGCGGCATGGCCGGTGTCGCTGTGCCAAGCTCGAGCATCGTCTCATACGTCGACGTGGTCGCGACAGCGCTCTTGACACGCGACGACGAAGGCCTTTTGCTCGGGCGTCCCATGTACATGCAATATGTGGTGTTTCTAGACAAGTCGGACGGCAAGTGGGTGGGCCCACCCGAGACGTGGGACCCGATCGACGCCCGGTTTGTGCTGCAGTCTGGCTGCACGCAACAATGTTTGCCCCGGAAGGGCGTGCTGCACTGGAGTCTTCCGCTAGAAGTGACTGTGAAGTTGGCCGCCCTCAACGACGGCCAATACATTCACCCGCCCACCGTACGCCTCTCCCTCCAGCTTCTCTGTCGAGATGCTTGGGAGCGCCACTACGTCCAAGGCTACGGCAGCGTATGCTTGCCCACGACACCCGGGCGTTATGAAGCCATTTCGATCGAGCTCTGGCGACCTCGGCTGCCTTCGGTGGCCGCCGAGCGCCGCAACTTTTTCCTAGGCGGCGAAGGCCAACTGCAGAGTCTCTTTGACGTTCACAAAGCGTCGTTCGGACTGCAGACAGATGGCGCTGGCTCCGTCTTGGTGCGCGCGAGTGTGTTGCACCAAAGCAGCGTCGTCGAAGCCATCACCGAATCCAAGGAGCTCCGGCTCATCAAGCGCGGCGTCGACGAGATCCTCGCCAAAGTTCGCGCCGCCAAGCCAGACCGCACCGACCGCAAGGTCTCTGCCGTGAGCTCGATCCTCGATCAACTCCGCGAGAAGCGTCTTCTACCCGCCTCGCAATCGCACTAGTTCATCCCTGCAAAGCTTCTACAGTTCAGAACCGGATCAAGACCACTCGAAGGGCCAGACTTTGACTCTAACGTGCGGCGCCGGCTCGCCTTGTGATCATAGCAGGGGCGTGCGCTTATGTGCGCTGTATATATAGACATGGGGATAGTTAGTAGAGAAAAACCCTAATCGTCGTCGCTATCGAGGTCGTCCAACGGGTTACCCGACCGCTTCTTCATGACGCGAAAGAATTCGTCCTACACATTTGCGTGTCGGACTGCCGTAGGCCAATATGCGCACCTCGTTGATGAGACCGTCGCCGTCGCGATCGGCTTCATCGATCATTTCCTAGGCAATAATGCGTCGCTGCCCCCAATTTGAACATCTACCTGCATCTCCTCGTCCGTGAGGTTTTCGCCGAGCTCGGAGCACACACGCTTGAGGTTCTTGAACGAAATTTTGCCCGTCTACAAGCATACGACGGTGTTGTCCATTGCATGAGGCTGCCGCCACGTACGCTGTCGTCGTCAAAGAGCTTGAAGATCTTCATCACCTCGTCCCGCGTATCCCGCGAGTTCTATTCGCCCATTCGCCTCTATCTCTACCTCGATACGTGCGTACCATGCGGCTGGTCATCATCTCGACAAAGTTTTCAAACTCGATCGTGCCGTTCTCGTCTTTGTCAATGTCGGCGATCATCTTGCGCACCTCGGCCTTCTTGACCTGGAAGCCCAGCGCCCGCATGGCCGCCTTGAGCTCCCGCGCATCGATCGAGCCGCTCCCGTCCGTGTCAAAGAGGCTAAATGCTTCCTTGATCTCCTCCATTTGCTCCTCATCGAGCGCCTACATGTCAATGGTTTGCTGGATACAATGCAACAGCGACACCTACCTTCTTGACGGGCTTGGTCTTCTTGCGGAGGGCGGCGCGGGACCGGGCGAAAGCCGACGTCGTTGCCTACACATGGGTCAGAGGCCATCGCGGCAGTCGCGCCACGCACCATGCTGCTCTTGCTTTGTCCAAATCGAATCTTTCGAAGATCGCAGCGCCGTGTAGCCGAGCCATGGGACTTCAATCTTGGGCGCATTCGAATAGTCGCGTCCTCAACTGCACAATATGCTACATGGAGATGACTACTAGAGCTACGGCAAAGTGACTAATAGAGACGTACGTAATTGAGCTATTTTGTGCAAAGTGACTCGAGGGGCCCGGTTTCTAGCGCATTGTGGCGCGCCGATTGACTCGGGAGTTGTTCGTCATAAAGTTGGGAAAGGTCGTTGATTGGCTCGACGCGCCAAAAACTGGGTTTCGAGTTTGCGTTTCTTCGGAAAAGGTTGACGTTGCCGACGCTGCAGCGTAGACGGGTCGAGACGACATTTGATTGGTGGAAAAGATCTTCGAAACGTAGCTTTTGGCCAATCGCTTGTCTGTATTGCCCATGTCCATTTTCGAGCACGTTTTTCGACTGTTCCACGAGCGAAGGCCGACGACGATGAAGCCGACGCTGCTGCTGCTAGCGCTCCATGCGATGGCCTTGACTGCGCTCGTCATCGAGCGGTACATGCGCATGCTCCTTGGTACTCGACCTCATGGCCGGCGCCGTCCTTCGTATAGGCCATGCTGCACTATCGCCAGCCACATGTAGGCGCCGGTGGCGACGTCGTCGACTCATGCGTCTCGTAGCCCAGCCCACTTTGGGCGCAACATCTCGGACGACATTCCCGAGCTGCTTCATGGCGAGATTGTGTCAGGTAGACGCTCGACGGCGTCCGCCTGTATGGCCTGACGAATTGCTGTGCAGCTCGGCCATTCGACGCGTGCGGCGATGTCATCGAGAACGACGTTGCCGGACGCATCGTGCTCGTCGTGCGTGGCAAGTGCAACTTTGCGTACAAGGCGCTGCAGGCGCAAAAGGCGAACGCGAGCGCGATCGTCGTCATGGACGACAAGCCCAAGGTCCACGACGAGTATGGCCGCCTCCTTCCCCGAGTGCTTGGAACGAGATCCATCTTGCTTAGAGTCTGGGGCGTGCACATGATCTCGGACGGCAACGCGTCCGACATTGTCATTCCGTCCGTCTTTGTCGCATACCAGACCGGCGCGGCGCTCTTGGCGCAGCTCCAGCAGGACGCCAATTTGCCGCCGCTCGTGACACTCAACAGCACCGGGCAAGGTACGACAATGTGTCTGATCTGTGCAAGACATAGTGTCCAATGCTAGGAGTGGCGACGTTTCGACAGCATAGCATTTTTGAAGGCATCGTGCTCTACGTGTTGTCCACGTCAGTGATGTTTGTCCTGCTCAGGTCCGTACTCGCGTTTTCATTACCGACATCTGACGCACCCGTAGCGCACTCTGCTTTGTGCTGAGCAAGATCGTTGCTTGGTACCAGCAAACAGGTAACCAATGTGCGGTTGTCGGCTCGTGCGACAGGGAGAATCGTAGCACGAACTCGGGCGGCACGACGCTTGCCCCTGCGGCAATACCATGTACGATACCACTTTCTGTCGGCAAGGAGATGCTAAGCACGTGTCGCTTAGGTAAAAGCTGATGAAGACGTGTGTTCCATTTGCCTCGAGAGCTTTGACGACGGTGTCTGGCTCAAAGTGCTGCCGTGCGACCACGAGTTTCATCAAGGATGCATCGACCCGTGGCTTCAACACCGCAACGGCAACTGTCCATTATGCAAACGCGAGGCCCTGGACGGCGGTAGGAACCCGCTTCTGCTTTCATGTTACCGACTTTGGACCAGATGTGTGCGTCGACGGGATCTGGGCAAACCACCACACAGGTCTGGGGAGCTGGCTTCCGTACATTCTGGTGTCGAACGAAAACAATTACTCGGTGCAGGTATACGACGTTGTCCGACAGGCCATTGAGACTCAGGCAGTGTATAGATGTTTTTGTACGGTGTCATCATGATGCTTCCCCTGCTCGTGGCAGTGGCTCTCGGGTACTTCACTGTCGACCTCTAAGCATTGTCTGCGCTTCTATCCTAATGTCTTATAAATATTCCAACTATTGTCTTGGGCTCAACGCAGTAGTTCATCGCTAGTTCCGAGTCTCAACCCGCCACCCGCGGCACTGAAGTCAAAGTTAACGCCGTGTGGTGATCGAATCTACTACGTATGACTGCAAAGACGAAATATCGAATGGATTATGTTGATACATAGCTAGTTTATCGTTTGCTGGTGGACCGCACTCGAGCTTGGTCTGCGAGGTCCCGAGGCGTACAACTGGTGTGCAAGAATTCCCTGCGCGTCGTGGAGAACGATCACGATGACTCAACGTCGCTGCACTGGCCGGTCGTCCGGTGTATCCGGCGGGTACACGTAGCACCCTGTCCGACTGGCGGCCCAAAAACGAAGCGCATCTTCGGCCGAGACGGAAGCACAGTGCGGAGAGTGTGAGGGCAAGGGTGCGTGACCCTAAAATTTGATGTAAGGAAGTGGTTCGACAAGCATGCCCTTCTTCCCGTGTTGAGACGGATGTAAGGTATCACAAAGTGGCTTGCTTGCAGATATGGTGGAGTTAACGACGGGCACCTTGAGTGACTAGTGTGAGCTTGGCTGGCTGGAGAGCGGCTGCTCGAGCGTGGCTAAGCAGCGCGGACCGCTTTCTGAGGTTTGTACCATTTCACTTGAGTTGAACGTGCGATGGACCAGCGACCGACAATGCTGTGACTGTTGCGTACGGTGATACTAGTACACAATACCCGGTATATCGTCCGAGAGACTTCACTTCTGAAATATCGAGAACACAGAGCCACTCGTCACTGGAGGTTGCTTCTCGCTGCAAAAGCGTGTACCACCGCGTCGCCTCGATCTTGTCAAGCAAAATATTGCCCATGGTAGAGACGACGACACCACAAGACTGGTCATAAAGACGGATATGACAAACCAAAACGTCCGTAGGCGGGCTATGCTTTCCAGCCTCTTAGCAGCGTGCTGCTACTGTTCGACTCGACCATTGGCTCCTTTGGCAGTACGAGAGGGGCGGCGGTGGGCGACGGCGGTAACTCCACGACGAGCAGTTTGACCTTCTCCTGCAGCAGCGCAATCGTCTCGGCGTCGTTCCTCGCTTTCGCATCCGCCGCGGCTGTCATGTCTTCACTCGCCCGCAGTGCTGCTTGAAGTTTGTTCATGCCACGGCTACGCACCTCAGATAGTTGCGCTGGACGTCCATACCACAATGTGTACCTGTACTCGTCGCAACGTAGTTTGAACGACCGGCGCTCGGCCTCCATGCGCTCCATGAGACTGCCCTGCAGTGTCTGTCCAAGTACATCCATGGTCAACCATCCATGCTAGCAGTGCAAAATGGCGCACCAGAGTATGGAGGATCTCGGCTTCGTCGCTTGAGAGTGCGGGGCGCACACAAGAAAGAGCAGGCAAGGCACTAGGATCAAGCACGAGATGTGTCAAGCTGGATGTCGCCTCTTTCGCGTCGTCCACAAACGTCGCTGGCTGCCGAATTGGGTGCACTTTGGCTGGCTCGTCCTCGAGCTCGTCGAGGTCGTCCAAGCAATCGTCAAACAGCGCACCTAGGTAACTGATAGCACTTCCTCTAGCGACTGTAACGAGAACATACGGGCTGGGTCCTCAAGTGCCATTTCCATGTTGCTTCGGCACTCGACTGCGAGATCCGTGATCGCGTCCAAGTTGGCTTCATGCTCCTTGCTCGCCTGATGGTCGACCGCACGCGCCAGCGTGAACCCGACGCGCGATCGCACGAGTTTTCGTTTTGCCGTCGTCATGTGCGACCGCGTCGGTACGTCGGTTGTCTGCAGCAGTTGCAGGCACGCACTCTGGAGGTCGTCCATCTCGGCCACATACGTCGCCTCGAGAGCTTCTTTGCGCCGTCGCCAGAGCAGGACCTCGCGCAACTGCGCTGCGTACGCCGCTTGCAGCTCCGCTTGGCGCGCCCTCCTCGCTGCGGTAGACGCGACCATCAACGTTGCTTGAAGCTCGGCGATGACATCGGCTTCGGCCAATGCCATGGAATCGAGCTCCGCCTTCTCGCGGAGCGTCTGTGTCTCCGTGCTGGCTTGGCGGGCCTCCACGCTACGAATCGCGTCATCGAACGCCGCCTTGGCGTTGACACATAGCCGCTCATGGTAGCTCGCGACGTCTTCGACTTCCATCTCCAGTTTTCGGATCTGGGTGCTCCACTGCGCCTGCGCCGCGTGCATACTGGCGACGTGCGCTTCCGCAGCGGCCGCTTCGGCCTGCTTGAGCGCACGCAGCTCGGCGTGCAGCGTTGCCGACCGTTCGTCGCGCACTGCATCCCGCCACGAGGCCTCTTCGGACGAACAGCGTAGCCGCGTCTCGGCCAGCAGATCGGCCAGCCGCACCTTGTACCGGTCGAGGGCCGTCGCAAAGACGTTAGATAAATCCCGTACCACGTGCTGCATTTCGAGGAGCTTGGCTTCGTGCTGCAGCCGGGCGACGTCGATCGCTTGCGCGTGCGCAATGGCTGACGCTTTTGTGCGGGCGTCGTGCTCGGCGACAGCGGCTTCCCACTTGCGGTCCAGCGCCACGCACGCTTCGTCGTAGAACGCTTGCTGGTTGAGCGAGACGGCATCGCCGGTCCACTGGTTCGTCTGGTGCTGCAGTGCTGCCATCGCCCGCGCGCGGGCAAAGTCTTCTGCCCGATATTGGTGGTCGCGCTCGATGAGCTCGATAGCGTCGGCATGGGCGGTGGCCAGCGCGCGCATCTCGCCGACGCAGCGCGACCGGACGTCTTCGGTTTCCATGTGCACGCACGTGAGGCGCTCGGTCCACGCGACCAACAGCATCGCGACTTCGTCCGCGTGGAGCTTGTCGTCGTCGTCGTCGACGCGGCGCAGCTGTGCGACGCGCGCTTGGAACTCGACCTCGCGTGCGTTCAAACTGGCTTGCATCGATTGCCATTGGGTCTCCATGGTGGCTTCGGCGGTGCTTTTTTCGGTCGCGCACTGCACCTCGAACGCGCGCACCCACTCGCGGTGGTCGTTGTCAAGGGCACTGAGTGCCTGCTGCGCACTCAGAAGTGTTTCTCGGTGCGCGCGTGCGAGGTCCGTGAGCAACGTCAAGCATCTTGTGTGCTCGTCCCGTGCGACGTTCTCCGCTTCATGCATCGCCCACTCGTGCCGTCGGCGCTGGCCCTCGAATGCCTCCATGCGCGCTTCTTCGGACACCGCGGCGTCAGCCCGCAGCGCCTGAAGCTGCCGCTCGTGGCGCTCTTCAATGTCCCGGAGCGTCTCTGCGTGGGCAAAGGCGACTTCGTCCATGTTGGCCTGTATGTGGCGGAGCTGCACTTGTTGCTGCAGCCGGCGCTCGTCTTGGAGGTCCTCAAGCTTGCGGCGCTGCGCTGCATGCTCTGCTTCGATCGCCACCAGTTGCGAGTTGCACCGATCTTGCAGCCGGAAGACCTCGTTCATCGTTCGGCTCTCGGCGTCGTGCCACGTCATACTGTACCGGCTCAGGTGTTCGTCATGCGTCTGCGCCAAGGCAAGCAGCCGCGCCTTGTGTTCTTCGTTTACTTGCTTGTGCCGCTCGACTTCCTCTCGCTCGACGTCGCTGCAGCGCTGTCGCAGCGCGCTGATCTCGGCGTCGCACTGGCCTTGCTGCGCGACATACGCTGCGTGGCGCTCGTCGACGCCGACGGGGTCATCCGGCGCACTCGCTTGCGCCTCGACCCACCTCTTCCACTCGGCTTCGATCGACTCCAAAACGCGCACATGCGTCGCGATCGCATCTTCCACCTGCATGCTCGCGCCGGCTTGGCCCTCGCGCATGAGCTCCACGCGCGCGGCCAGCTCTGCCTCGTACTGCCGAGATCGCGCTTGGAGCTCGTCGGCGCGCGTGGCTTCTTGCATTTGAAATGCAGCGTCGAGGTCCCGCACAATGTTGGCATGGCAGCGCGTCATCTCGTCGAGGCGGTGCTGGTGCTCGGCGTGCAGCGACGCATGCGCATCCCGCACCTCCTTGGCGTTCCAAACGAGCTGGCTGCGCTGCTCGGCGAGAAGCGACCGCGATGTGTGCACCGTGGTCGCGAGTTGCGCCTCCTCGGCCATCTGCCGCGACCGGAGCGACTTCATGAAGCGCGCGTGCGCCACCGAGTCGTCGACGGCTGTTGCGTCGAGCGCCGCCAACCGCGCGTCAAAGTGCGCGGCGGCCTCGGCGAGCTTTTGGCAATGGATGCTGTGCTGCTTGGCCGCCCTGGACTTGGCGTCGACCAATGCGGTGGCGTGGACCGCCTTCGCTACCTCGATCGCGCCGTCGAGCTGCGCGGCGGTCGCCAGCCAGCGCACGCGCGCATCTTCGTCCGCCATCCCGTAGAGCTCACGGGCCTCGCGTGCTATGCTGTACATGCTACTGTGTTGCGCCTCGAGATAGCTCATGGCGGTCGCATGCTCGGCCTGGAGCGCCGCGAGGTCGTCTTGCTTTTGCGTCTCCCACTCGGCTTGCTCGCGCGCGCGGGTGGCCATCGTCGCCTCAAACGCCCGCAGCATCGCCTCGGTCGCATGCATGCATTCTTCTTCGTCGCGCATGCGGCGCGTCTCGAGACTCCAAAGCTCGATGGCCGCCTTCTCGCGCAGCGATCGGAGCTCCTTGGCGTGCATCGCGCGCGTCTCGGAGAGCACGGCGTCGGTCTCGGCCACGAGGTGGTGGCACTTGGTGTCCCACTCGGCCACTTGCATGCGCGCTTGCTCGTCGGCGAACGCGGCCTCGGCGCCGCACGTCGCCATCGCGTCAAAGTGCTCCTTTGTGAAGCTTTGGAGCTCCTGCATCCACGCTTCGTGCTGTGCCTGGTATTGCGACGTCGCAGCGTCCATCTGCGCTTGAAGCGAGCTCTGGAGCTGCTCGAGGAGCTGCGCCGCGACCACCGATGCGGACTGGAGCTGACGTTGCTTGGACTCGACGTGGCGCGCGAGCTCGAGGCTCGTACTTTGAAATTGAGATTGAAAGTACACTTGCTCTTGGTGGCACTTGGTGTTGAGCGCGACGCAGAGCGACGTGAACTTGGCTTCGAGCGACGCAATCGCCTTGGCGTACGACCCCAAGTGCATCGTTGACGCTTGCGAAAGCTGCGAGAGCTCGTGCTGGCTCGCGTGCACATAGCTCTCGAGAAGATGCGCGTACGACGCTTGGCTCGATGGCCACGGTGGCAGCACGATCGTGACGGGCAGCGGCGGGGCAAGCACCATGGCTTCAATGTCACTCAGCACCTGCGTTCGCCACACCGGGTCGCTATCCAGATCCTCCGTCGCCTACGCGCAATGAGTGTCGGAGCCTCTGTGTGAAGTGAACCGGGGGAAGGGTTAGCTCAAGGTTTGCGGCCAGCTGCTTGCGAATGCGCGCGAGGCTAGCATTCATCGGCGCGTCCAGTCTCGGCTTGGGGACGGCCTCGACGAGGGTTTCGAGGTCCACGAGCACGGCGTGGCGCCACGCCGGGTCGTCTTGCGTGGGGCATTCGCTCTAGGCATGAGAATGCAGCAGCGTTTTAAACAATCGTAGACGATGTACCGTCGCCGGCGCAAAGTCGAGGAGCGACGCCAAGTGGTCGCGCAACCGCCAGAGGCTTTCGTCAAATGTTGCGTCGTACGGTGGCGGTATCGGCAGCGGTAACGCTTCGGGTTCGAGGACGGGTAGCGTCGTCATTTGGTTGCTCAACGCTGGCGTCGCCTTGAGCTGCCGCTCCTTCTTCTTGAGCTCGAGTTTGAGCTTGGCAATTCGGCGTTCGAGACCGAGCTTGTCCTACGACACGCATTTGAATTCGAATAGAATCCATCCGACAAGTTGTACATTTTCGCTAAACTTGATACTTGTGTCGTAATCGACCGTTTGCGTCGACGCACTCAAAAGAGACGTCGCCACTTGCATCGCTGCGTCACGCACACTCGGTGGCTCGGTTTGGTGACATGCGTCCATAATGTCATGGGGTGACGACGGTAGGCAGCAGTAAATGCCGACGTCGTGACGCGCTACACCACACACACCGCTCAGCTCTTTTCGCGCCTGTCAAACATACCACTTGCGGTGGTTACTGGGATGTCGGGTGGTGCCGGTAATCCCAAATCACACTGCACACTGACGTCATCCGATGTGAGTGGCGACGTGTGAGCGCCGCTGCTTGCACGATCGAACGCCAGACACTGAGAGGCGGCATCGACGCGCAAACTTGAGGACGTGGCGACGACCTCAACTTGAGTGCTCTTCTCATCGCAGACAACTCTTGGTAGTGTCGTGCTGCGCTGGGGCAAAAGCGTCTCGAGGAGCTCGTTATGGGCAAAGCTCCAATCGACGCGACTCGAAATGGGTAAGGCAATGTGCGGCAGGTCAAACCGAAAGACGTGGTGGGCACCAAGCGTCAGGCGGGATCCGTTGGGGACGTGGCACGCGTCCAACGTCTGGCTGAGATCGCTGCCGTTGAGGTAAATGGACGCGTGGAGCGCCGGCCGGACGCTCACATCGCCGTCTTCGTTGCAGTGGAAGACGCAGTGCAGCGGCAAAATGTCCGGACCGTCCAAGACAATGTCGGGCACCACGTCGCTTTCGCCTGGTCGCCCGACCGTCGTGACGCCTTCTTCAATGCAGTAGAATTTGGTTTCTGTAAACGTCGGGTCCTAAACAGTGGTCGCGTGTACACGTTGTCATGTAGCGCTCGTTACTTGGTTCAAGTTGACGAGATGGGCCACACCGAGGTGGTGGCACCCCGTGGTCTCTGGCTCGGTCGCGGCATCGTCGTCGCACGACTCGTCACCGAGGCTGTCTTCGACGCGACACCGGTGCGGCTGCTGCTGCGCGACGCGCAGTTGGCCTCGCAGAGCGAGAATCTCGAGGCGCAGCTGGGTGCTCACGCTCGCCTCGGTCTCGCACGGCGTGAGCTCCATCTAATAACGATCGAGTTTGCATACATCGTCTGCAAGACTCGTGTACCAGCGGCGGCGACGAATGGGCCAAAGCGACCTTGACCCGCTCGAGGTACTTGAGGGTGCTCACGGTCTCGTCGTAGTGAATACAGCATGGGCTAATGGCCGCGAGCATGACGAGCTTGGACTGGCCGCAGAGACTGTCTTTGAGCAGCCGTGTCAGAATCGAGTTGCGGAATTGCACAAAAGACGTGCCCCTACGCGGCATTGTCAAGACCGTCATGGGACAGGATCAGTGCGTCGTACGGCGTCTGCACGTTGGTCGCCAAGGCGTGGATGACGTCGCCGAGCGCGGAGAGCGACTTGTTGATGTACGCTGCCTCGCGCAGCCGCGTGCCTTGCGCGAGCTCGGTGCGCTCACTCCCCGCCAAGTCGACCATGCACATCTTGGAGACGCGCTGTCCGTCCTTGAGTTCGCGCCGCAGTGAGAGCGTTAGAATCGCATGCGACCGCGACGACACTTGGTTCATTTCGGTGGCCGCGACGCGCCGCGTCTTGGCGCCTTCGCCAAGGAGGTACTCGATGTCGTGGTAGCTCGTCACCACGTGGTTGCTCACGTGCTCGACGTACGCGCCTCGGTCAGGGTGCTCGCGCACCTTGAGCGCATCCTACATTGCCCTGAGGTTTTATCGCCAACGAAGCTCCCGACCTTGTCGGAGCGGTTGAGGAGGTCGTAGACGCGCTCGTTGTAGATCTCGACGTAGCTCATCTTGACCAAGTAGGACCGCGCGTCGTCGGGGACCGCGTTGATTTTCTCAAAGAGGCCATGGCAGAGCCGCGGGATCAAGCCGTCGTGGGCCGACGAGATCGCGTGCTGGTGCGAGTGGTTGTTGTTGCCTTTGGCTTTGCCCATCATGCTAAACGACTTGCCCGCGCCGGTTTGGCCGTAGGCAAAGAGCGAGCAGTTGAAGCCGCGCCACGCATCCTGGAGCACGTGCGTCCCCAAGTCTTCGTACAGCCGCGCTTGGCTCGCGTACGTCGGGTCCGACGGGGCGTACGACCAGTAGCTCTTGTCGTACGTAAACGACTGCTTCCAGAGCTTCGTGGCGTGGGCCGGCGATGCGGGCGCCCCCCGCGCATGCAGTCCCGCGGGGTCAGTCACGATCGTCGCGTTGCCGTCCATCGCAACAATGAGTCGACAGCCGGCCTTGCGCTCGTCGTCCGACATGGGCCGGACGCGCACCGCCGTGACGACCGACGGCGAGGCGCCGTCGTCGCTGCCCGCGTCCATGCTGCCAAGATCCGTAACAACACGAAGCACGGTTACTGACGACGTTTCGTCGTCTCGTAGAAAGGCAACTGGCCCCACCACCACATTGATGGTAGTGCAAGGTCATGTCAATGCACCACGCCACTCTATCTGCAGCGGTCTGGGCATCACGCGACAAGGCTTCATTGAAGCTCGAGATGGTTGGGCCAAGGTACATTGTACTCGACTGGGCCGAGGCTCGTCGAGGGGTCTCAGATGCGACGGGTCGTTGTCTATTCCTTGCCACGGCCCGCCGCGTTCATGTATGTTCGAGCGAATTCCCCAGTCTGCCTGCACCCAAAATACCTAGGAGCTGGAAAGGCGGCGCTGATCGGGTATTCCGTCATTTGCGATCATGTCGGTGACCTTTCGAGTGCTCTCGCCCAACGAGGCCGAGGCCGCCCACGCGATCGAGGTCGCCTCGTACGCGCCCGGGAAGGCGGCGACGTTGATGCAGATCCGCGACCGCATCCACCGCGCAAGCGACTTCTTTTTGGGTGTTTACGAGGCGGCGACGCTGGTCGGCTTTGTCAACGGGACGCTCTCAGCGCAGCGAGAGCTCACAGAAGACAGCATGGCTGGGCACGACCCGCGTGGCCACTACCTCTGTATCCACTCGCTCGTCATTGCAGCGTCGCACCGCCGCCAAGGCCTCGCGACCAAGCTCCTCTCGACGTACGTGCGCCGGCTCGTGGACGAGGTACGTGCGGAGGAGGCGTCCAACGTGACAAAGCGTGATGGCTAGACCAACGTTGCGCTCATTGCGCTCTTGGCCGAGCCGGCCCACGTGGCCTTTTACGTCAAATGCGGCTTTGCCGTTCTCCGCATGTCGCCAATCGCGTACAATCAAGCGCCCGATTTGGAGCTCGCCTTCGACTGCAGAGCCGTACGCCAGCTCGACGTTGTCGTCGTCGACGCTTTTGCAACGAGACCGTACGAAGGCAACCCCGCGGCCGTCGTCGTCATCAGCTGCCGCCAGTTTGACGCACCGGGCGTCGACCACTGGATGCAGCAAGTGGCCATGGAGCGCAACTTGAGCGAAACCGCGTACGTGGCGCCGCTGAGCGAAGCGCATGTCGGGCAGAACGAGTACCGCCTGCGGTGGTTCACGCCAGGTAGAGTCATGGACCGACAATTCTATCTCAGATCAAACCAAGGCTGTGAGATTCGACTCTGTGGCCATGCGACGCTGGCCGCCGCGTTCACGCTCTTTGAAGGCGGCCATTGCGACAAGACGGAGTGCATTCGCTTTCACACGCTGTGGGTACCGTAGAGTCATGTTGCATGTTGTCTCACGCCAAGACATAGGAGCGGTGTGCTCACGACGCGCTACGTCGTCCAGCCCGACGGCCGCTCCGAGATCGAGATGGACTTTCCATCTCTTGTCCAGCAAGAGCACGACGATGCCTGGCGCTGTGCGACGTCGTCGACGCTGCTGCACGCTCTGCAGCTTGCGAACAGTGAAATTCTCGCGGTCGTCGAATATGGTACCAAGGTTCTCTGCCATGTGCGACCGTCGGCGTACGACGCGGTGCAGCCGGACTTTGCACTGCTCGCGACGCTGCCTTGCCAGTACGATCCTGTGCTCGGACGATGTGCCAAGAATGTGATTGGTATGTAGGTCGGTCGTCCTCACGTGCGCAGCGCCCTTGGCGTCGGGCTACGATTTCTACAGTCGCTTCTTTGGCCCGAACGTCGGCGTTAATGAAGACCCAGTGACAGGCAGTGCCCACTGCGCGCTCGCCCCGTATTGGCATGCGTACCTTCCGACGCACCCGCGGCAATTCCGCGCCCGCCAAACGAGTCGGCGTGGCGGCGACGTCGGCGTGCGCCTGACCGATGACAACCGCGTCTTCCTCACTGGATCGGCCGTCATGACGCTGCGGGGAAAAATGCTCGAATGACGCTTTGCAAGCGCAGCCGTCTGCTGCTAGCTCCTCGAAACTAACCCCACTAAGCCGGCTGCACCAAAGCCCTTTCGCTTGAGTCTTATCGGTGCATGGCATGCCAATGCAGCGTCCGGCGTTGGCAGATGAGATGCACTTGCAGGTCGTGCATGTGTATCCTGCGGCTCGTGGCGGTAGCTCATACGCCCATATTCTAGTAAGTTAGCTACCCGCCGTGAGTGATCGACTGTACCTTCACCAATCGGAGCGAAAGCTCCGCCTCTTTGTAGTACAACCGATACTCCCGTATTCTAACTTAGTAGACGATGCTAGTCGTTGCCCAAACTAGCAGATGTTTGCGTCGCAGATCGGGTGCGTGGACAGTCATCATCGCGACGGAAAGATGCGAAGGTGGATTGCGTCACCTCGGAAACAGATTGCATGGTGGGCCGGGCCCAGCACGCGCGTGGGGCTGCGCGTCCGATCGACCACCTGCTTGGAGACCCAGCGCGTTAGCGTCACCCGGTGACGTCAACTCGGTCCACTGTTCCCGCAGAATTCGCGTTGCGATCTTCCAGCCTTCTAGAAAGGCGACTTTTTCACGCGCTCTGATTGGCCACATCCAAGGTCGCGGTTTGGAGCAACCATTTTGAGTTTGCCGTCGCACGAGCATCATGACGTTTACCTTCCGCCCGCTCACGCTCGCCGAGGCTCAAGCTGCCCACGCCATCGAAGTCGCTTCGTACCCGGCGGACGAGGCCGCGTCGCTTGACCAGATCCGCAAGCGCATCCAGGAAGCTGGCGCGTACTTTGTCGGCGCCTATAACGGCGACGCCAAACTCGTGGGCTTTGTCAACGGCACGCTCACGGCGCATCGCGAGCTCGAGGAAGAGACCATGTCGCGCCACGACCCGCGCGGGCAGTACCTCTGCATCCACTCGGTGGTGACGGACCCGTCGATCCGCCGCCAGGGCCTCGCGACCAAGCTCCTCAAGGCGTACGTCCGCCGCGTCCTGGACGAGGTTCGCTCCGAGGTTGATGCTGTTGTCTTATGTATGCACCGTGTAGCCGCATGTGCTCGCGATCCTCCTCATCGCCAAGCCGTATCTGGTGCACTTTTACATCTCGTGCGGTTTTACCGTCACGCGCTTGTCGCCGGTCGTCCATGGCAAGGACGCGTGGATGGAGCTCGTGCTTGACTGCACGGCTGCGCGCCAGCTCGACGTTGTCGTCGTCGACGCCTTTGCGACGACGCCGTACGAAGGCAACCCCGCGGCCGTCGTCGTCATGAGCTGCCGCCAGTTTGACGCACCGGGCGTCGACCACTGGATGCAGCAAGTGGCCATGGAGCGCAACTTGAGCGAAACCGCGTACGTGGCGCCGCTGAGCGAAGCACATGTCGGGCAGAACGAGTACCGCCTGCGGTGGTTCACGCCAGGTCGACCGACGTACACGAGCATGTGCTCACAAGTGACATATGCGTAGGCGTCGAGATCGACCTCTGCGGCCACGCGACGCTCGCGACCGCGCACGTGCTCTACGAAGATGGCCACTGCGCCAAGTCGGACCCGATTCGCTTCCACACCCGGTCTCTCCATTCCTTAGTCGACGACTAACAACCCTGTAGGAGTGGCGTCTTGACGACGCGCTACACGACGCTCGAGGACAAGACGACGCCGGCCATCACGATGGACTTTCCTGCGTCGGCCAAGACCGAACACGACGCTGCTTGGCGCGAGGCGACCAAGTCCGTTCTCCTCTCGGCGCTCCGCGTCTCGACCACCGACGTCCTCGCACTCGAGCAGTATGGTCCGAGCTTCATTTGCCAGCTGACGCCGGCGGCGTTCGAGTCTGTTGTGGTGGACTTTGGTCTCATCGCATCCCTCAAGTCGCAGTACGCCGATCGACAACTTGGTGTCGACCTAACCCGATGCCTCTAGCTCGGTCATTATCACGTGCAAGGCGCCGACCGACTCGGGCTTTGACTTCTTCAGCCGCTTCTTCGCGCCCAACTGCGGCGTCAACGAAGACCCGGTGTGCGGCAGCGCGCACTGCGCGCTGGTGCCGTTCTGGAACGACCACCTGCCGCAGACGCAGCAGACATTTGTCGCCCGCCAAAAGAGCCAGCGCGGCGGCACGTTGCGACTCCGCATCGAGGACGGACGCGTCTTCATCACGGGCACGGCCGTCGTGACGCTGCGCGGCAAGATGCTCGAGTAGGCAGCTGGTGCAACACTCTCCATCATCCCTTGCGAATACATTCGTATCCTTTTGCGATAGTACTACAGTGGTATTGACATGGCAGCAGACGCTATCTCTGTGTCATCTAGGCAGCGGGGTAGGGTTGCATGCAGCTGTTCTATCCGTGGTTCGACCATCTCGTTGTTCAGTGGCCTTGTCGTCATGAGCCCCGTTGGTGGCGGCTGGCACGAAGTTATTGCTGCTTCAGGAGGCTCCGACAGAAAGACTCGAGAGCTTGCAGTCGATGGGGTCGCGGGACGATGCAGACAACGCAAATAAGAGTGAGAGATGCATCGTTGTTTCATCGTTTACTGCTTGTACTCGTTGTTCGCGAGGCTGCAGCCAGGCGTAGGCGCCATCGATGGCGACGACGGTCCGACGGCCTTGACGGCTTGGCCGTTGCCTTGCAGTGGCACGCAGTTTTCTACTCCAAACTGTGTGAGCGGGCCGACAGAAGAAAGGAAGAGAGAACGTACTGTACACTTGCCACTGGGGCTGGTGCAGCGCGAGCCAGTAGAAGCGAAGCATGCAACCCGACCCGCCGCAGCTCGAATAGTCGACCGGCAGGTGGGCCGCGGGCTTTTGCGGAAAGTGCGTCGGGCAGTCGTCGTCCTGGAACACACGCTTATCGTCGAGCCACACCTCGCACGGACCCTATGCAGGCAGTAAGCGCTGCTATCGTCATAGCGGCCTGTCTACCGTGTGGCTCGAGATGAAGCCTTCGCCCGTGTCGGGGTTCAGCCACGTCATGGTGCCATCGGACGGGATCGTCTTCTTGGAGGCGTTCGGAAGCGAGTTGCCGCACGCCGGCCCTTGCGGCTCGAGCATATCGCGGAGCGTCTTGAACTGGGACTGCGCCTTGAAGGCAGTCGTGAAGGCCGCCACGTTCTCTTGCGGCGAGCCGTCAAACTTGCCGGGCAAGTTGGCTTGGATCGTCGCCACGTACGTCGTGCGCATGACGTTGGGCGAGAACTCGGCCGCGGGGTTGGACACGATGCCATGGCCCGCGACGAGCACGAGCGAGGTGAGGAGGGCAGAGCAGCGAAGCGGAAGCATGCTATCGATTGGTCTTTGTCCGAGCTGGCGAATTCGCAAATGAGGCTCGGAGGTCCCGGCGCCGAGGCGGTAGAAACCTCGAGTAAAAGCGACGGGTAAAAGCGCCGAGCCCTGTCGCTCCACCGCCGTGGCGCCGTCGGGTGGGAGAAGCGGCAGCGCTGGACGATCGCTCTGTTGAAATGCCATGGCTGTGGCTGAGTGGCGCCGTCGCCGCACGGGCCATCGGGCCTCTCTCGCTGCTGGCGTCGGACAGCGCCTCGGCTCCTGTGCTCATCGCTCATCGCTTCCAGGTTTGGATCTGGCGTGCCGAATGCAAATTGCCAAAAGGTGGCATGTGCCATATATAAGAACGCAGGCCTCGGACGAACGCACCAATCACAAGACAGCAGATGCAGGAAGATCCAATCTAGTTGACAGGCGCGTCGACATGGTTGCCGATGGTGCTGCGAGAGCAGTTGCGGTCGCTGGTAGACGTGTGCTAAAGGAGGCTCGAGCTATACGCGCGGCTATCTGTGGATAGTCGGTTATGCGTCGTCAAGGTCGCTGAGGTTCACTTCCTGAACCGCCTCACCGCAACACTGGCACGCAACATGCTTCGGCGGCGCCAGTGCATGTCAAAGGTACCTGCTCTCCAACACTTCTAGAGTCGTTTTCATACTACGGTATCACTGGAAGCGATAGCAATACGCTAGCCGCCCTCATCGGACCATCCGTTCAAGCGACAGACAGAACGCTGCAGTCCTCTCGCTTGAGCAAACCAAGTGTATATAAAAGATGCATCTCGTATATACCTTTGAGCAAACGTAGCCGCGATGCGTTGGCAACAGATATACTTCATAACGACCCCGTTGATAGCCGAGAGAACGCGGCGAGGCTTCTTCACGGCTGCCGACGCCAGTAGCTCTGTGCACAAGCACTGGCGACGATGCTCTCCTCGTCTTGATCGGCGACAACTCGTACTTCTCGACGTGGCCTCTATTCATGACTGGCCATCGACCCGATGCCAGGACGCGAGGTTGCCGAAGGCCACTAGAGCTGCTGGCCATCAGGTGCTACTGGACGTTCGCTCAAGTGCGCATCAAGCTCAGATGTGCAAAGAGCTTGACAAGTGAATGAATACAGCTCGCTTGTCATCGAGGTTGCAGCTGCTTTTGCCGCGCACAAGTTCGCGCACCTGGACCGCAATATCATGATTTTATTGGAATCCACTTGTATTTTAATGCTGTTCCGCAAATAGACCATACAAACAACCTGTGTCGCATGTATAAAAACAAAAAAGAATTGTCGGTTGGGTCCGGCATTTCATGTGGGCATTGCCTTTTGTGCGGATCCAAAGCGCCAAGAAGCATGGCGCCCGTGCCCGTGCTCGACATCTGGCAGCGCTTCCAGCGCGCGAATGGCCCGATGCTCGAGGAAGACGCGCTAAAGGAGGTCGGCCTCGTCCTCGCCACCAAAGGTGCGACGCCCGACGACGTGGCGGCGAGCCTCACGGAGGCCATCGAGCGCATGGTCGCGACCGTGCAAGAGCCTGGTCCGCTCGGTGCAACGAACGCAACGCTCTTGCTGCTGCAGCTCGTCATGCACACGTTTCACGGGCTCAAGGTCGCCAAGCGCTTCGAATGCTTGGACGCGGCTAGCACGTCATTGGTGCCGGCGCTGCTCGAGCTGCTCCTCGTCCTCGCGCCGGCCGACGGTGCCCTTTTCGCGGATACCCGCCTCGTCATCGAGACGGTATCTTTTCTCAGCACGATTCTCGTCGGCTACCAGCACGCGTCGACGCTGTACACGGCCCACCACGCGTCGCTTCTCGGCCTCGTCGAGACCTTTGGGTCGCACCCGAGCATCGTGGGCACAGCCGTCGGCGCAACCACGTCGCAGCTCCTTGTCCAAACCGCACTCTGCCTCGTGCACGTGCACCGCGGGTGTCCCACTCTCAACGCGGCCTTGCTCAAAGCGCTGCTGTCGCACATGGAGAACGTGCCCACGCCCCGTGCCACCGACATTGATGCGACGCTCCGCGAGTGCTCGTGGCTCCTCACATCCGACCCAGGGTACCTTCCAAGCGTCGAAGGGCTCTGGACGATGGACGAGTACGGCGACGTCGGGGGCCGCAGTCGAAACGCATCCTCGCTCGTCTTGTCGACGGCGGCCAGCTGCCACGCCGTGCCATTCACCGCCGCGCTGTACGACAATGGAAAGAAAACGATCGAGCTCTCGGGGGCGGCTGTTGCGCCGCTCGCGCTGCTGCAGGCACCGTCGACCGCGCCAGGACCCTGGTCGCTGGAAGGGCAGTGGCGTCAGCTGCTCGCAGACGACGCGCCGAACGCGATGCAGCCGATCGCGGTGGCCGTCGAGTGGGCATGCAGTGCGTGCACCGTCGTGAACGCCGCCTCGGCCCTCAAGTGCACGACATGCGGCACGGCCGCGCCGCCGCCGCTCCCGTCGTCGCTCCAGTCTGCCACGAACGGGAGCAACCCCGCGCCCGTGACTGCGTCGCTCCATGAATCGTTTATGGCACTGCAGTGGAGTCGCGGCGAGCAAAAGGGCGTCTGGCTTGCCCGCAAGCAAGCGTTGACGCCATCGCTGCAGTTGCCACCGGCCTCCGCCGTATCGCCCACGGCCTACACCCTGCACGGCGACGTAGCACAGTGTCTCGCTGTCGAGAAGCCCATGTCGGTCAACAGCCACGGCAGCACAACCATCGAGCTGCACGTGCGCATCGAAGCAACCGCCAGCCGCCAAGTCGTCTTGGCCAACGGCGAGTTTACGCTGGCCTTGGAGCCCACCCAGACGCTGGTCTGGACGTACGGGCAGCACGTCTTGTCGACGCCGCTCTCGTCCAGTGGCAGCCGCTATCACCACATTGCGCTGGTGCACGATGAGCACGAGCTCATCTTTGTACTCGATGGCGCGGTGGCCGCCCGCACGCCGCGCGTCAAGGCCCACGAAGATGGCGTCGCCGCCAAGATCTTGGTCCTCGGTGCCGAGCCCACTGAATTGAGCACGATCTCGACACCGTCGTCGACGCAGTTGCCGGCGTCGGTGTATGCCCTCGCGCACCCTATGCACGGCTCTATCGTCGAGCTCCGGGTGTGGGCCGTCGCCCTTGACCTCGGCACACTGCAGGCACGCGCTACGGCGGCGCTGCCGCAGACCACGCCGCACTTGCTGCTGTATTTGCCGCTCGTCGGGTCCTCGGAGCATTTGGTGATGGACCACGGACCGTACGGCAGCCACGCGAGCCAGTACATGCACGGAAGATGGCCCGTTGCGCCGTCGCTTGCCGCGTTGCCCGTCGCGGCGCATCGGTGGGGCGTGCTCGAGAGCTTTTTCCTCTACGGCGCCGTGCGTCACTGTGATTCGTGGACGCTGGAGAGCGGGTCTGCGATCTGGCACAGCGACGCGCTCGGCCTGCCGCACGCAGACGGGATCTCGTTTCAAACGACCGTCGCGACGGCGTTTCCGACAGGCACCAAGGCGTCGATGGCCATCGCGCTGGCCAACGTCTCGTACTGGCAGCAGACGTCGCTGATTGACGAAGTCTCGGCGCTCGACGCACCCACGTCGTCACCACCCGCGCTTTTGGTGCACTTGACGCAGCACGCCAACGACGCCGGTGTCGCGATCGGCCTCTATGTGCTCAAGGCCGGCGCGATCCACTGCCTCAGCTTCGCGACGTCGCTCCTGCCGACGATTCACGCGGCGCAGGTGACGTACGACGCGGCCCGCGGGACATTCTCCGTTGCTCTCAACGACCGCGTCGTCTCGATGGTGTCGGTCGACGTAGCGCTCGCCCTCGGGCTCTCGGCAACCTCTTCTCTTCGCGCCGGTCTCGTCGTGCCGCACACGTCAGACATTGAAGACGCCGTGTCGATTGGGATTGGCGCATGGCACCTGGCCTTGTCGCCGTCGTCGACGATGACAACGTCGGCGCTGCGGGCGGTGTATGGCCTTGTGGGGCTGCAGGACGACGTGCATATGACTGACGCGCACGCGTCGGCCACCGTGAGCTGCTCCAAGTACCACACGGACGGCAGCGCGATCACGCAAGAGCTGTTTGGGTGCCAGAGCTGCAACACGAACCTCGTGTTTTGCAAAACGTGCGCGGCGTGGTGCCACGAAGGCCACGAGCTCGTCTGGAAGGGCAAGACGGCCGGCGCGTGCGGCTGTCGGTCGCGCGGCGCAGCGGCGTGCCACTGCCCCGAGCCCGTGTCGCTACCGACGGACCGGCCCGTGCTCGGTGAACCGACGTATGGCCTGTGGTGCTGCCCGCAGTGTACCGTGATCAACGCCGTCGACAAGGCCGTGTGCTCTGTCTGCGGGTGCGTCTCGCCCATCGCCTCGCCGACGCCGCTCCAAGATTTGCTCTCGCCGCTCTTGGAGACGCCGTCGATGGCGGCCGAGTGGTCGTGCGACGCGTGCACGATGCTCAACAGCGCCTCTGCGACCAAGTGCGCGGTCTGCGACACGGCCAAGCCCGGTGGTAGCTCTGGTAATAGCAGCACGGCGCTGCTCGCCCTCGCGAGCGCCGCGTCCGAGACGATCCAAACACCGTTGGCGTCCGGGCCGTGGTCGTGCGGTGCCTGCACGATGGGCAACGAGGCGTCGCACACCATTTGCCACATTTGCGGCACGCCTCGGCCGATCGATGCCGTCCCGGTCGCCACGCCGGCGACGGCTCCACCGTCCCCGATCAGCGTTGCCACCGCGCCGCCGCCAGTGCCCGTGTCGACCGCGCGCCTGGACACTCTGTTGTCGCTGCAAGCCCAAAAGATGATCCGTGTGCCACTGGACCTTGCCCCGTTTGCGACGGGCGCGACGACGTGGGAGACGACGGCCGGGCTCTTGGTGCTTGAATATGCACCGCACGACGCGTACATTGGCGACCTTGTGACGGGGTCGTACGTTGATGGCGATGGCAGCCTCGTGGGCCTTCTCCAGCCACCGTCGTCGGCGACAGGCCCGCTCGAGCTCCGCGGGCTGTACAAGCCGTCGTTGACGAGTGTGCCCAACAGCTTTCTCTTCCAGATTTCGCCCCAGAGCCGGCTCGACGGGCTGTGGTTTCGTGGCGACGGCGCGGGCCAGTGGCGCTGTACGTTCACAGCGAGCACGCAGCGTCTCCGCGGACTCAACGGCGCGCCGTTCTACTCGGGGCTGGTCAACATGGCGCAAAACCTCACGAACGTGTGCTACCAAAACAGCTTTTTGCAAGCGCTCTTTATGACGCGCGCGTGCCGTGACGCGCTGCTCTCGGCGCCCACGTCGCCCAATGCGGTCGTGTCGACGCTGCAGTCGCTCTTTGGCCGCTTGTTGCAGTCGCAGGCGCCGGCCATCGCGACGCATGCGCTCCAGCGGTGCCTTCCGCCGACGTTCCAAGCCGGTCGGCAGCAAGACACGAGCGACTTTGCGAATTTCATCATGGAAGCCTTGTCGGACGACGTGAGCCGCATCTTTGGCGGATCGCAGGCCTCGATCCGGCGCTGCAAGGCGTGCGACCACACGGCGGTGACGCACGAATACTTTTGGGAGCTCCTCCTCAACATGATCGAGCTCCGGTACACGCCGATCACCGACCTCTCGGGCGTGACCGGCACGGGGCTCACGATTCCGTGCCCGCTCGGCTTTGACCGTCTCAACTTTGACTTGAACAAGGACCGCACCAATGCACCGTACGTCTACCTCTGCGTCAAGCGCGACGTACAGGCGACGCCAATCACCGACATCATGATCAAGGTGGCCGACGTGACCGAGCCCAAGCCGCATGTACCTGGCTACACGCGCCTTGAAATCGACTTGAACCTGGGCGGCAGCTCTGGCATCATCAATTTGCTCTCATCGCCCATCCAGAAGGGCGCGTCATCGTTGGAGGGACCGCGACATGTGACCAACAACAGTGGTGGTGGCGGGAAGAAGCAGGTGTATCTCTTTTACTCGCGGGATCCCACGGGGTCGCCGATCACGGACCTCAACGTGGTCTACGGCACCGACACGGTGCCCGACGGCTTCCGCGCGATCCGCGTCGACCTCAACCAAGGCGACGGCACGCCCGTGTACCTCTGCTACCGCTCGGACATGCCCATCACGGACCTCAAGCTCGTGACCGAAGGCCGCCCGGGCTACAAGCTCCTCGACAACTCGTTGCACCTCGCATCGACGGTACCGTTGGCGTGTATGTATCAACTTGATACCTAGTATGGCGTAGGACCACCAATACATTGCGCACACGGATGGCGGCCACGGCGCGTGTGTCACAGGTCTCCAGCTCGTGCCTGCGGCCGACGTGGACACGCGCAAGTCGGAGAAGTGGGAAGATTTGGGCTTAAGACCGGCGCCGGCGAACGGCGCCAAGCTCATGCTCCAGCGCGGCCACGGCAACCCGCTGTACGCGATCGAGGTGTTTCGTGCTCCGCGCATGGTGCCCAAGTTTTCCGAGTACGAGGTCATCTCGCTGCACGCACCGGCGCCCGGGCCGCTCACAATCGAGCGCCTCCATGGGCTCTGGAAGGCTGGCGACGACTGCGAGCGCTCAAAGCGCGCGCTGCAGCTGCACCACGTGGCGCTTTCGCAAAACCAAAGCTTTTGCGTCCGGGGCTCGTTTGGCACAAAGGGTGTGGTGCAGGGTGTCTTGCAGTGGCTAGCGCCCAGCGGCACGTATGTGCTGCACGGCCACTGGACGGACGCAACGACCAAGCACCCGCAAGTCGCGCACCTACTCTTCCGCGGTGACGCGTTGGAGGGCACGATTGGCGATGCGAAAACCAACAAGAACGTCGTTTTGCGCGGTACGCACGTGTCGTCGACGATGACGAGCCAGCACCCGGTCACGGACCTCTTGCTCGTCCGCAAGTCGAGCGCGACTCCGCTGCCGCCGGGCGTGGCGCTCGTGCCGACGCCGATCCACGGCGATTTGCACTTGGCAGTCCGCCGGGACCCGAACGCGCCGGCCATCAAAGACGTGTGCGTGGTCTACGGGGACATTGACCCGATCCCAGACGACTATGTGTGCCTCCACACGACCTTGCACGGGACGTCGGGCAACCTGAACGACGGCGCGCACGCCGTCCCGCTCTTCATTTGCTTCAAGCGCGATGCCAACGCCGCGACATTAGGCCTCATGGACGTGGGTATTGTATCGGGCAGCGACGTGCCCGAAGGCTACACCAAGATTGGCCACACGCCGCTGGGCATGGAAGCGAATCTGCAGCCGGGCAAGCCGCTCTTTCTGATCTACAAGCGCGGCGCGAGTGCCACGCCGAGGGTTGTCGAGCACCCGCTCAACGGCCAGTTTGACACGTCGCTTTGGGGACCGCTCCAGCTGACGGTCGTCGAGGCACTGCCATTGGCATACGACGTCGTTGGCAAGTTTGGCTTTACGCTACACGGGAATGCGGCGGCCAACGGTGCAATGCGTGGCATCCTGTACCCGACGACCGCCGACGCCACGAGCTTCCACCTTGTCGGGTACTGGGAGACGACGTTTGGGACGCACAACTCACTTTCGTCGGCCACGTACTCGCCGCTGACGCCGCTGCATGCGTCGACGCAGCCGATGGAGCTGCGGTTTTCGCTTGACGGATCGATTCCAGTGGCGTCGGGCTTTTGGGCGCTCGGCAACAGTGACGGCGGCAAGTGGGCGCTTGTCCATGATTGCTACGTGCACATTGGCTTCAAGAAGGACTATGGCTCCGAGTGGGCGAATGGCGCGCTGCAGACGTCGGACCGCGTCTCGTCGCACGCGCTGCCCTCGCTGCTGCGGCGGTTCGTGTCGCCACGGACTTTGGGTGGGGACTTTACGTGCGGCCAGTGCCACGCCCGCGCCGAGTCGCGTGTGCACTCGACGATCGTGTCGCCGCCGAGCCACTTGATTCTGACGCTCAAGCGCATGCACTACGACTGGAAGCTCCAGAAGACGTGCAAGAGCCTCCACGATGTGAGCTTTCCGCCTTGCCTGGCGCTGCCGCCGCTCGAGGCAGCCGACGCGGTGGTGCTCGGCGCGTCCGAGGACGACCTGCCGCGCGGGTACGGCTTGTACGCGGTGCTCGTGCACAGCGGCGTGAGTGCCAACTCGGGGCACTACTACTCGTACTGCCGCGACTCGTCGAGTGGCCACTTGGACCTCAACGACGACGACGCGGCGCCGTGGATCAAGTTTAACGACACGACGCTGGCCGTCTCGAGCTGGGCCGAGATGAACCAAGCGATGACAACGTCCGTGTCCGACTCGGTGTACCTCCTCTTTTACAAGCGCCTCGACGCTCACCAGTCTCTCGGCAACAACCTGGAGAATGAAGAAGAAGAAGCCAAGTCGGAGGACGAGGAAGCTATGCTTTTGGCCAAAGCCATGGCACTCTCCATGTCGTCGACGCAGGCCGCGCTCGAGTCGCTCGACCACGTGGTCGCGTTCTCGCCGGCGACGCAGGGGCTCATCCAAGAGGTAGAACTTCTCGGTGGCATGCAGTGTCTCACTCTGTCGGTAGATTGAAGCAGAGAACACGGCCCGGATGCTGGCGGCGCAGACGAGCGAGGTGGCGATGGACGATCTCCATACGGTCGTCCGCGCCATGTCGAGCGTGCCCGAACCCTACAAGGCGGCGTTGGAAGCGGCGCTCATCTAACAGGAAGGAACCTTTGTATCTGCAAACTGCATTGATCGTGGTGGTTGTATGTGAAACCTGCGGTACTGTGGCTGGGGCTTGGTGTGAAAATGACGTGGCAAGCGGTGGAAGCAGAAACAATAAGATTAAAAAACGGATTTCAAAAGTACGGCGACGGAACACATATGCAGGACGCTCGTCTACGCGGCCGAGGTGGGCACGGACACACGCCGCGCCCACGGCCGCCACCGACGCCACGTGGACTTGAGACGGCTGGAGAACGACGGCTTCTTGGCTGCATGATTGGTCGGCGGTGGCACGAGCAGCTCGGGCGACCGAATCGTCATGTGCATCGGCGTCTTTGGGGCCAGC